CACAACCTTAGTTTCTCTCTAACTCTCTTTTCCCAACAACTGTGGCCTTTATCCTGCGGGCCATTCACCTCTTTGTGGCTGCCCTCGCCAGTGCCTGCAGTAAATTCCAGAGGTAGCTGGAAACACAAACATGCACAAGCCTGGAGCAAGCGGCTCAGTCATGACAGACCCCTCCTTTACGACCGACGCACCTACCTACTACCTCTCTCTCCACAAAAGGGCCTTTGTGTGTGTTTGTGTGTATATGTGTGTGTGTGTGTGTGTGTGTGTGTGTGTGTGTGTGTGTGTGTGTGTGTGTGTGTGTGACTGCCTCACAAGGTCTCCCTTCAGATCTTTTCTCAGACATTTACCTGCTCCATAGGTGTAATTCATGTGTTTGTCTCCACTTCAGTCAGCAGTGTGTGGATGTTTATCGTATAATTGGGGACTCCTCCATGAGACATAAACCAATGTTTGGACTCTTGTGGATTTCAGGGAAAATGTGATTACAGTGATTGTGGCGCTCTAATGACGCCTTGGATGAGGAGGGTTTGTTATTATGATGTGCAGGACCCATCCCTAATATAAACTTTGTCTGATTGATATGGCCACTGTCCTGTTTGAATGGTAGGTCGAAACTGGCTCATGTTAATGAATGGAAGATATTCTCCAAACTGAAAAATAAGACTTTAATTTGCAATTGGAAAATTCTCACACATAATCAAACCCACGATCAGCAGATCTCTCTCTCTCTCTCTCTGGAGTGTGCAACACAATTTTTCCTCTTCCTCTTCAAAAGGAGGAAGCCCCCCTCACCCCTAACCCCCTCCTCCATGTCCAACTCTTTGCCAATGTGCTGAGCCAGTGGAAAATCCGACATCTGCTCATGAAACAAAGTGGTGTAGAAAGATCGGTTGACCAGAGGAAGCAATATTCATACAGCGTGTCCTCGCTGATAGGGACCTGGTTGTGCAAGTCGCCCTAATGAGACATCTTCGCGAACCCATTTTCCACACGCCTCGGCTGAAGCGACGCATGATCTCGGAGCGCACCATAGGCATTTTCCCACCGCAGTCATATGTTTATTTTAAAAAATGTTTAGGAAATTACTGCTAATCTCTTTCTGCGGCTTGTGATTTATTCTTTCCACTCCCCCTTGTCCTGTTTCCCATCTTGCATTGTTTCTTGTGCAAATGTCTTAATCAGCTCACATCAGCACGCTATCTGAAAACATGATAAGATGCAGAGTCTGCAACTTAGTTCCTCTCTTGTTAGAAAAGCAGACACACTCACAGGGTGCCAGTTGCTAGACACTCTTGGACTGAACCTGCAATTATTTGTCAAGCTATCTTGTCTCATGGTGTGTATCTCTCTCCCCCAGTAATTTAGGTTCTATGTTGGGATGAACACACTCAGCCACAGCTTTCTTTTTTATTTTAATGTGACAACACTTTGGCTTAACTTTTTTTGTTTTGTTTTCCTGCATCGTCTTCCTCGATGAGACCATTTGTTCTTCTTCCACCTAAATGAACAAAGTGTGTCAGTTTGGATGTGTTTTTAATAAATGCAAATGTTGCCCAGAGAGCAAAGTCCCCCTTTAGGGCAGGTTTTTGGTATATACCTCGTCACTAATGCTCGCCCAGACAGCATAAACAACATATTAGCATGCACAAAGGCTAATGACACTTGACATTTACTGTAGTTCACAAGATGCTCCGGAGCATATGGCAAATTTCCACCGAGAAACTGAGTCAACAGCTAGACAGAATAAACAGCTGTGGGTAAAGTCATTGCACCCCCCCCACCCTCCAGTTTACAAAGTCTCACCAAAACTCCTGACACCGCTCCCTGAGAGTCTGCAAAGATCTCAGGTTAATTTCGGAGATAATTCTTTATTTTGCACATACTGTACATACAGTCTTTTTACTTCTAAGAGTACATTTTCTGTCTCCATTAATTAGTCCAATGACCAAATAGCTTCTGATTGTTGTGTGTTCCGCTAAAAGCCTTTGTGTGGGGTTTCACCGACTTGCTCACTTTTGCTGCCCCAAAGTGTTCAAATGGATTGAGGCTGAGGTTAAGTGGTTTCTACTGAATAAACAGTCAGCAGGGACACAAGGCGAAAACCCAATTTATTGTCTCTGTTATTTAGATGGAGAAAAGACGCATGAGCCACAAAACTGAAAGGAAAATATCATCAAGAGCTGATGAGTTCAGCATGCAGATTACATTTTTGAGACTCTCTTAATGGCTTATGTTGACAAAGTGAGTTGTCTCTGAATGTTTCAATGCATTTCTTATATATTATATTCTTATACACCTCTCCATTAGAAAGTTAATACACTTATATCAACTAAAAGTTTTTAACAATAAAACAATTGGACACACTTGTGAATCTGTAGATTTCCTGCCATCCAAGCCATATAATCTACTGTCTTCATATTTTATATAAATCTGGGTTCTTGTTCCATCATTGTCAGTTTCTGAGAGAACAGTGTGAGATGACATTTGCATTCTCCCCTTAGATTCTTGAGTGCGTCCTAGTTTCAACAGTATCTTGCAAGAGATACACAGACTGATGGACAGACGAAGATGGACAGAGTGAGGGAGGCAGCATCAGCGTCATGTTAGGGACATCTGCTCTGGGTTCGGCCAAACGCAAAGCACTGCAGGCTGCCAATCAAGACGCCACCAACACCACGGTGAACTGGCACAAAAATTCAGTCTCGCCTCTACCTCTGCACAGCAGGGTTGGAAGGTCCGCCTGTTTGACGGCTCTAGCGCAGCTGAGGCCTGTGTTACTGTTGGACGTTCCAGAAAAACATTGTCATGGTTCCAGTTTGATGAGAGCAAAATAATTCTACCCTCATTACTCCTTTAATCCAGATGTTTTACAAAACACAAGTACAACTTCAACCAAGCAGATCAGATGACAGAATACAGCGGGACCTCTCTACTGCAGCTCCATCGCTACTGCGCAGGCTCTGGCTCCAAATGTGTGAGATGGCAGCGTTGGCTTCATTTCTGGAGAAAGTGGAGACACGTCGTCCATCTTTATTAACAGTCGATGGTAAAGAGATTGTTTGGATGTTGAGTGGAATAACAGATGTCAAAAACATTCACTGATGTAATACATTTTGTGGTGATCTATTGTATAAGACGTTTTGTGCATCTTGATTGATTGTTCCTCTTTATGCTTTTGTCTTAACCAACTCAGGCAAATGATGATTGCACAAGTCAACTTGGATCAGAATCACTTTTTTCCTCCACCACGTCATCCCTTCCTCTTTTTTTCTCCCCTCTACGTTGATCTGACTCAGAAGTTCTGAAATGACGGTTCTTTTTTTTAAACTGCACACAAGCGTAAACATGTTGAACTTTTCCCTTGTTTACAAATCCGTAGAGGTGAAAATGCCCTTGTGCACTTAGGGATGTTGTGTTAATAATAAATCCCATTATATGAGGAAAGCAAGGATATTACACCGAGGTTTGACCACCCCTGGATTTGTTTTCAGTTTATCATTTACAACCACTTATCTTTTTTTTAACCTAGGGTTCGTCATGGTCAAATAAATTCACTAGTATAAATTTGATTGCTTTGTGCAAACTTGAGATGACTGTTTTTGACAGTTTTTATCATAGAGGTGTTGCCAATAATGGTTGTATATCTAAGCGATCTAGGTGTTATCATAATCCACAATCAGCTGCCACCACGATCATGATCAACCATCACTATCCACCATCTAGATCACAATCCAGTATCACTCATCATGGTCAAGATCCTACAATCACGATTAAGTTCAATAATCACGGTTACAATCGCCGATCCACCATCCTGATCACCACTGTCACGATCCATATAAAACAATGAACTTTGTAATTCGAACTCTTTAACGTGTTCCGCTGCTGGGGAACGTTGCACCTTATACTTTTTTTGGAAAGTATTTATAAATGTGAAATTATAAAACTGAAATACACTTTTTATTCTCCTGTACATAAACTTTTCTTGAAAGTAGCATGTCAGGTGATCATAGGGGATTTACTCCTGCACCGTAACTGTGCGTCATATTCTGGGCACGTTATCAATGCGCAGTTTATTTTTTCTAACAGCAGAAATCTGGGGGGGAATTCACTGAGTCTTGGCTCCAGTGACACTGAGACCGACTCCTTCTCACCGGGACGTGAGACTTGCACAGGCAGTGAAGAAGAAGTAGAAGAAGAAGAAGAAGAAGCACTACGTCATGGAAAGAATGACGTCAGGTATTATTAGGGAAGAGCCTCGGTGGAGTTCAGACAGCAAGAGACGATGCGGCAGTGAAGGGGGGGGGGGACTTCTTCTTCTTCTTGCAGGCTGCATCTTATGGTTTGGAGATATGGGAGAGAGTTGTGGGGGGGGAGGTGGTGGATCCGCGCGCCTGTTGAACAATCTGTTATTACAGAGCGTGCACGGGAGCGAGGAGAAAAAAAAAAAAAGAGGGAGTACGGATCATGACGTAACCGTTTCCATAGGCGACTGATATGCCGGCTGAGCCAATGGGAATCCACACCAGCGGCTCCGTGCCCATCCTCCTTTTGACGCGCATCACGTGTCCCCGGCGATGTGGTGACAGGAGGCAGGCGAGCCAGGCGAGATGATGCGCCCCCTTGTACTTCCGGGTTCGCCCCCCCCCCCTCCACAAAAAAAAAAAAATCCATATTCTACATTACGACTGATCTGTTTTCATTGATGTGACGTCAACGCTCGTGGTGTGAGACACGTCTTCAAGGTGTCGTGAGAGAAGCAGGTGTCGTCAGCCTGCACCTGCTCTTCCCTCTGGACGGCTTCGCTAGCATCGTTAGCGTTAGCCGCGTCAAAGTGTAAACAGTTGCACGCGTGTGTGTGTGTGTGCGTGTGTTCTCGTGTTCTCTTCGCTGCTTCCGGTCACGTGGTCAGAGGTTTCCACGGGCAACAGAGAGGAGGAGAGGATGAGGGCGGGGGGAGGGGGGGGTGAACCATCTTGAACAGCAGAGGTCGTGGTTGTGTGACAGCGCAGTGGGCGGGACCTCACCTCAGATCAGGGGAGAGAGTTCAGTCTGTGGTGAGACTGAGGGTGAGTGAGAGAGAGGAAGGGACCCGGGGAGCTCTTCAGAGATCGGAGTGAGTATCTTTTAATTCCCCCCTTACTTTTCACGGTTGTGTCCCCCTGTGCTAACGCGATGAAACGCCGCAAGACGAGTGCAGCCGCCGGCACGTTGCATTCCCACCCGCCCCCTCCTCCCCCATGCCCCGGTTTGAGCCCTCGTTTTTCTGTGCAGTGGATCAACGAGGGCCAGCGGTGGGTAGCCGCCGCGGGTAGTTAGCTTTAACCCAAGCTAACGTCGCTAGCTAACGTTACATCCCGGATCTCGGCGCTGACATTGGGCGTCTCGTTCTCGCCTCACGCCGACACACGGGTTCCTATTCCAGGCAGGGTGCCGCCAGATTTCCCCTCCGCTCCGTGTTTGCTCGCCGAGACTCAAGCGGCACCCTGGGCTAAGTTTTTTTTTTTTTTTTTTTTTTAATTTTTCCACTTGCCCTATCTGTTGGAAGTAGCGTTTGTCTATTTCCAGTCTTTACCATCGGCATGAGCTAACGTTCGGGGGCTAGTTGGCTAACGTTGTGTGTTAGCCTGGATATATTTTAAACGTTGCTCTCCTCACGCTACACTGTCTCTGGGGGTATTTGGACGGCGAGACTCTGAATCAACGCTGAAATGTGGAGCTGTAAATGGCCACGAGAAAGTTGCTTGTATTTCATTGTAACGCTCAAACCCCAGTTTACACCGGGCTGCTTTTTCCTGACTTGTCATTCAGCACATTTAACGCTACACACCGGGAGATAATCGCGGTTAGCCGGCGGCGGTGTGGGTAAAACATGCACCGGCCCCAGAGCGGTGCGTTCGGGTGCTGCAGTCCGCGCAGTGCGGCTCCTCACACGGGGTGCTCGAAGGGGGGGAACCGGTCTGTCTCTACACAGCAAGTTAGCAGACATCCAGTCAGTTATTATCGGTGAATTATTTATCTTGTCACCCCCAACTTTCACTTTTAGGTGCAACTCCAAACTAACCACAACCCTCATCCCAAGCCCTCACCTCAACTACGGAGGGCACCTGTCTCTTAATCTCTAACCTCAACCCACTCAGCAAAGCTTAAATCTCATAGTAACACTTTAATCTGTGCTATTTAAAACATATCACATTCACTTCCTTACGTGAACACCGGCTGATTTGGTTTTACAAACCCCTGACACTTGAAATCACTATTTACCTCACACACATGTGATATAACCGAGCCCGAAGCTTTCTAGGTCATGCAAACTGCACATATGAACCGTACACGCTGTTTTTGACGGGAAATGTAAAATGCACTCGCTGACATCACCTGCAAGATAACAGGCGGCAGCCTCTGAGCACCTTTTGGTGTCTACTTGAAGGGATCACTCCTTATCCAATTAAACAGCACCGGGCTGGCTGCAGATCCAGCACTGTCTCTCTCTGTCTTTGTGTTTTACAACTTGTGATCCTTCAACAAGCAGCACTGTAGATTAAATATAATATATTTGAACGCATCATTGAGCTTCAAGTGAAAACACTGATTCAGCTACGCAAGTTGTGCGAGTCCTGTCTGTTTTAAATAATAAAATGACAGCTGAGCTTACAGCTGATGCATTATTGGTGGAGCTCAGTAGGTTTCAGTGGATTTTCTCACCTCTACTACATTGGACAGTATCACTCATCGCTAAACCTAGAGAATATTTTATTAGAGCTTTCCAGCTCAGCATATAGGAGATTCAGAGTTTGTTTAATGATTCACTGAAACCATCAAGTAACACAATCTGTTGCTCTGTCTGAGCCCTTTGAACTCGGACTGTTGCTGTCACTCAAGAATGACAAAAATATCCTTTCTTATTCCTCGCTGCACCGTGCTTTTTCACAACGGCTGGGCTATCGACGGCACTGCTCGCCCTCACTAGAGGATATGAGTCAGTGGTTGTTATACTCGTTTTGTTTATCTCAGAGGCCAGATCACTTGACCTCCTTGGCTGTGCAGTTCTGCTGGATAGTGTTAGTCCTTACTTTCATTTCTAGACCAACACTCAAGGATGTGCTTCTATATGCAGGCGATGTATGTGATTTCTCTCAATGTCACATGATCGCCTGCTCTTTTAAATAAGTGCTGTTTATGGCCGTGGAGCGATTGTCACTGTGAAGTAAAGCAGTACACAGAGCACACATTTCTTCCAGGCAGTCATCGCCTGTCATGTCTGTACCCAGCTCATCACGCACGAGTCCCCCTTACAGCTGTTTGATATGTCCACTCATTTCATTGTCATGCTCTGCACTCAAGTCAATTACAGCCAGGCTTAAAAATATATTTTCAACAGCAGCTAATGCTTACCCTCAGTTCTCTCTCTGTTTTTCGGTTAAATTTTTTGGTATAAACCGTTGTTTAAAGAGTAAGCCACTGTAGGTCATTAAGGTGACTTTGAGCTTCATGGAAACTGGTGTGGAAAGCTAAATATAATCTAGTTTTACTCTGTTAAGTACAATGTATTTATGGTATTATTTACTCATGATGGAGGTTCGCTTATCTTTCTTTTTCTGTGTGGATTGCAAGGCCAAGGTTATTCCACGCAGAGGTTTAAGGTTTCATTAAGTTTGACTCATTCATTCAAATGTGACCCAACAAAGCGAGGAGTAAAACGAATTACGCTGGTGTGACTGAAATGTACTTGCCATTTTAAAAACATTGGTTTAATGATATATTAGCAGGGAGACCCAGTGGACTATCATGTGGAAAAACTGGCAAAACGAATTGATAAACTAATCCTGTACACTAAAACAACTCTCAGGCACACACTGCAAAATATCATGAATTAGTCATCAACACAGAGCTACAAGATGTCTGCCGGGCATTTATGTTAGTTTTGGCATTTCTGCAAAGAAGATTTTGCTTTCTTAGAAGTTTTTATGTAGTCAAAAAAATAAAATGTCTTATTAAACTGAGGAACATCATCATTTAGTATATATAATACAGCCATAGTGCTAGTTGTTGTGAACAGTATCTCTTTTGGCATGAGTCCTACACTGGTGTCATCTTCTCCACACATCTGTCTTCATAGCTGGTTGCTGATGAATTTGGAAACTTTGCATTATGAGCCAAATGAAGACAGACCCATAATACAGGTTAACCCAATAAATTAACAATTACCAGGTCTCCTTGAATGCATTTCCTGTAAATCCATCTTGTGATATTTGGAGATCCTGAGGACATTACTTGAGGGACATTTAATATGAAAAACCCATTTCATGTCATCTTCTGAGCACATGTTTCAGCATCTGTAGATTAATTGATTCACAGATGGGGCTGGGCAACATGGTTATGTGTTATACCTCCTTACTGTACTTGCACAATGCATAAGCAACATGTCAATGTATAAATATATATATAGAACATAAATTGCTGAGCTACTGATAAAAATTACATTGCAACAGCCCCACTTGCATGTGTTTCTGTTGCTGTCTAGTGATATTGCCATTAAAGCAGACTCAGTCACACTGAAGGACTTGACCTCCTCCTGGAAAAAGGCAGCTGACTTGAATGTAAATGTGAATTAGTCTTAAAACACTACCATGATATTTACTATGACAAAGCCTTTAAAAGGAAAAACACAACGTTAGCATTGCAAGTTTTGGCCGACTTACACAGGATGGATGTATGCTGTGTAGCATCCAAGCAGTAGCTCCAAGACTGCATTTACTTCCACCCACTCGCCTGTCTTAGTCAATAATAGCATTCTGTGCATATGCTTTTCTATCACTAATTACATTCCCCATTACAGACTGGGTAAAATGAGTTCAATGCACAACACCGGTGCGTCCTAAAACTGTCAGGAGAACAAGGTCAGACTGTGGCAGTGAAAGGCGGCAGGACTTCAGGCCACTGAGCTGCTGTATAGAATCAGACGTAACAAAGATTGCAGAGAGCTTCTCATCTTCAAAGTGGCTTGATGAAAGATGCTTCATTTTAGAATATTTTCCATCCTATGCACAAGAAGGACTCGGCTCAAGGCAAAAATAAGAACTAAATAAAACCTTCCTGGTTTTTTTTTTTACTCTGAATGGAAAAAAAAGAATATGTTTTCCCAGTCTCTACTTAGACATGCAGTTGTATTATTGATAGAGATAAATTATGTAGTAGACTGAGGATTATGATGGTAGGGTGTGATTCTGATAGAAATAAATGATTTTTACAGTTTGAGGAAGACTATACAGTGCTGAATGCTAAGACTGTGACACACCTAGGTATTTAAAGTGTATAATATATAATACATTTGGTCTTCAAAGAAAATGTCTTTTTATTAATGATATGAAAAGGTGTGAGAATTGATTATATCCTAAGAAGAACATAACCTTTCAGCACACAGCAAATCTGGTTGAGCAAATTATGCAAATGATTACACCATATGAACTCTTAACATTTGCACATTTACAGACATCTTCACAATGATTAGAAGTTGTAATGATGTGAAGAAACACTGGATCTTTTTTGAGCCGTATGATTCATTGATGAGGTTTTGAAATGGCAAAGTGTGGCTGTGTTTTATTGATTGTAAGCAATGTTTTTTTTTGTAAAGATCACATTTATTAGGAAGCTTTACCTGAGCATGTAGGGATTGAATAAGATATAAACTGGAGCTTTTTTTGTATACAGACCCCTTTCATTGGCAAACATAATCACAAGCACTCTGCAGCAACCTGCTGTTCATTTTTAAGCTATTTAAATGCCTCTATACTGCAAAGGTTGGGGAATATTTGTGGATCAAATGCTCACATTTCTATCTGCTCTGTTTGTGATGAGCCAATTTCCTGCCCCACTTTCAGGCTAGTCTGCACTTCATTTTGTGACTTCTGCAGCATTCCAGACAACTCGATTGTCGAGATTTTACTACCTTCTACAAGAAATAAATGGAATGATTCTCAGTCTAGTTCCTACAAGGGAATTTGTGGCAAATCCATCATGGAGGGGCAGTTGTCACAAAAACATCAATGACAGCTCAGATCGAGGCATAGACTTTAAACTATAAACTGAAATGAAATGTTGATACTATTTGCCTGTATTTTATTAAATTCCTGTACATTTCTATCAGTGGTGGAAGGGGTGTGATGTATTTAGCTAGAGAATAGAAATGAACATTTAAAAATGTTTTGTTAATTTCTGCAGTTACACCACCACCACAACCTCGTCATCGTTCAGACGCAGCAAATACCTTTCACTAGTCATCTTGTCAGC